CTCACGAAAATTACGTCGTTAGACGTATCCATTAACATGGAAGAATATGTTCATCAAAATAAAATTGCATAACTTTGTAAAATATGTTCACGAAAAGATAGTTGAACTATCTTTTTTCAATGTTAACAAATTCATATTTTTCAATAATTTTTTTGAAAATAGATAACATAAAATAAAATTAACACTATTTGATGATATTCATCAAAATTATTAAAAAAATTAAAACCGTCATCAAAATTACATGAGCCAACTTGATATTTAATATTTATTCCGTGATTCCATAAGATATTTCCTTCGGTAATAGAAAAAGTACATGTTAATGTAAAGTTTCTCTTCTTCATCTAATTTTTTTCTTTGATTTGAATTCACATTATAATATTTTTAATAATTTTTTAATTAAATTACGATTTTAATTTTAAAATAAACTACACATTTAATACCTAAATGATTACTTTTGTTCCATTTTGGCAACTAAATTTTAATTTTGTTTCAAAATCATGTCAAAAATTTAGTTACGTTTGATTTTTGTACCTTGTCTTTAAAAACATAGCACATATATTGATGTCTCAGCATAAGGTAATGCCTCTTCATCAACAAAAAATAAAAAGTGGCACATCAACAGTTCTATTAATTGTTTAACAAGGGGTACTAAATTGAAACCTAAACTAACATAGGTTATGGTTTTGAAAAAAGTAAAAGTTGGCTACCAAAATGGAACAAAGTAATAGTTTAGGTACTAAATGTGTAACACCCCAATTTAGGGGCTAAATTTAGGAAATTATAAAGTGGTGAATTTAATTGGTATTTTTGAAAGAAATTGGGGATTAAATTATAAAATTTCAAAGTTGACAGACCATTTTAAGAAGTGCATGAAATTCAGTGGCTAAACTCATGGTTTACCCATTTTTATTATGAGTTGAATTATAAATCCCCTCCCCGTGCGCAGGTTCTCATATTTTCCAGTTTTCTCTTCTCCAACAACCCTCCTTTCAACTCCGATTTACTCACCGTCCGACCTCCGATCGACGAACCGAAACCACCATCGTGTTCGTTGTCGACCGAGCAACAAAACCCCTCAAACCTTTTGTCGTGAATCATCGTCGTTCGTTGTTAATTTCAGTCGGAAATATCGTCGGTGATAATTCGATTTCCGTTGGTTTTTCGTCGATTCACGACGATTCGGTCATCCGTTTACAACACCTCCCGCACCATCTTGTTCCTTGCATCGTTCCGAGTCCACCGGTGTTCTCCGTTTCTCCGTCGTCGCCGGCGTGTGGAGGGGTGAGACCGTCAAAGTTTTCGACGTTTCAGAATTGAGCTCTCTGCCGTTCAAAATTGTGAACCGAGCTTTGTAAGTGCCTTAAAATCGCTTAAAATAATTTTTAGGATTTTTTCGGGAATTTATCGACACCAGGTTACTGTTCACGCGTCGCACGCACCACCCCCTGAGAGTGGGCATCGTATGGGTCATAATTTAGTAATTAATTTCTATTTGGGTGTTAGTTTAGTAAATATTTACAGAATGTAGCTAATTTGGTAATTAATTTCTGTTAGGGTGATATTTGTGTAAAATGGTCGAATGTTGACAGTTGACCGTTTGACCGGCGTTGACCACAGTTAACCAAAACTTTGACCGGCTTTGACCGGGCATTAAACGACCTTTGACTTCGATCGAGTATACCTATCCTTACGTTTTTCGATGTTCCAAATCCGATTCCACAGTCCGATTTTTCGAAATTCGGACCTGAAGGCCTCAAAATTGCCAGTCAAACCCGTTGACTTTGATTTTGACCGAAAAATCCAAATTTTCGAAAAGTCATATTTTATGCTTTCGACGTTCTGAATATGAATCCGAATCCGAAGTCCGTTTTGCTAAATTCGAACCCGGTAAGATGTTTTTCACTGATTTATCATCCGATTCGATCCGTTTTCATAATTAAGCTCCATTTTTGATGTAATTTCTATTGATATGGATCCGAGGAAATATTGGAAGATGATTTCAAGATCTAGGGCGTTCGAATGGAATTTAATGGTCGATCAGTATTGCACAAAAATCGAGGTAATACTTTAGTACCTCTTTATGCTTTATGGAACATGTTGATATTGGTAAATGCATGAATAAGATAATGTTGGTCACTTTTGTGGAGTTGATTAATTTATACACTTGATATTAATGTGGTAGAAATTCTGTAACTGAATACGGATCGAATGACTAATATAATAGATTGAGGAATTGTTAGAATTAAATTACAATTTTGTGATTGGTGATAAAGAAATCAGCTCTGGATTTGTAACTTATATTTTATATCATCAAAGGTTAAATGTTAAAGGTACTTGGATGGAAAATTATGAGAATACTCTGATATGGTAAAATTATGAAAATACCCTTATGTTGTAGGATGACAAGAATTGTCCCTGGAAGTTGGTTAATAACTCTGAAAAGACATATTGATCCGATATAACTACTGATGTGTATAAGAAATGTTAGTTTTACTTGGAAATTTTGGATAACCGGTTTTTAACCCCAAGAGGGTTTATGCAAGATACTAAAAGTCTGTTAAGTAATCATTTTAAGATCAGAGAAGGTTCGGGAAAACAATTAATTATAGGATTTCCAAATTATATTATTTTCGTTAAGAGATAATATCGAAATTATCTGGTTATGAAATTACGAAAATACCCTTGAGAGGTAAAAATAGTCCAAGTTGACTCTGAACGAGCAGGTAACCTGAGAATTTGTAATTAACTGATAAATTACTGATTTTATGGTTGAGATCCTACTTTTGTATGGAAAATTCCTAATAATTCGTTAGTAATGTCTGAAAAGACTTTTAACCTGTAAATCTCCGAGATATGAGTAAATACCTGAAGAATAAATTATCGAGGGTGCTCTTTTGTCTGAATTGTTTGAAAGGTCTGGAATAAATGATAAGTTGGAATTAAATAATAAGACAGAATGAAAGGAAAGGATTGAAATACACTGAATCTGTAAGATGACCAAAATACCCTTGTAATGAAAATTATTAAAGAATATCACAAAGCCAGGAATGAATGGATATCCTCAAGCTTTGAAATGAATGGAAGAACATTGAGCATAAAAATGTCCAAAATACCCTTATGACAAAGGATAAGTAAACGAATTGGATTCATTAAGGAATCTAAATAAACATGGATGTTGCATTGTTTTTTTTTTAAAAGTTATGGAACATAGTTTAAGTCTGTTGACCAACGTTAATGCTATGTCAGTACATGAATGGCATAAATACCACTTGAATGTTTGTTCGTCTTCTCAAATTGGGATTTATGATAATTATGGAAGTACTCAGCTCAGCTCAACGTTAGAGCGCATTCGATATTAAGAAGTGCATATTCATGAGATAAATCAACCACGAACACAAAATAATGATTTTAGTAAATCACCAAAGAGAACTAAATGGAAGTACAACATGTATCCGAAACGCAGAAGCATCTGAATTACTCAGAAATACTCTGAAGTAACTGGGATATTGATTTGATTACTAAATGAACCGAGTAACTTTAATGACTGAGAATTTAGTAAGTTATTGAATGAGTCTGAGAACTCCAATGATATTGCATGATGTATGATTACTATGGGTTATGAACCAAGAATTAAATACGTTGACAATTCATGATATTGTTGCCATGTGGATAGAAATAAAGATTATTTGGATTCTCTGTTGCTTCCTTTAGATGTATTCAGTGATGATTTTAAAGATGATTTATAAACAGGAATTATTGGTATTAAAGTGTGAATACCCTGGAAGGGCAATGAATTGACCAGTTGAAATACATCAGTTTTAGGAGTTTTTGATTGTCCGATCGATTGATATGGATGGTAAGTGCCTTGAATATTCGTTTCTACTTTATTAGCTCAAATTACTCTTGTCATACTTGAACACTTTCCTGAGATATATGAATCATAGAGGGCTTCGAAAATATCAACCTTAAATGTCTGATTATATTAGTTATTAATCGATTCTCTTCAATATGACCTCGTTCTTGGAATCAGATCAAATTTCATAAGTTTCGTGTTATCCATAATGATAATTATAATGGCCTCTGAAAACACTTAGATTCTCTAATGTGTTCCCTAAGTACTATTTAATTATTTTATCTGTTTTGAAATATGGTACACTGAAATCTATGGTTTACTGCTTATTGATACACCGACTTACTGGTGATGATTTATAGACTGTGACTGATATATGATTATTGGTTTTCACTGATATATGATAACGATGATTACGGATTTATGGAATTTATGCTTACTGCATAAATTGTATTTTTGAAATACTGATTTTTGGATGGATTGAATTACAGAGTATAACTCTGATCGAGCTGATAAACCTTATGGACCTAATGTGACTCTTGGGTAGGCTCACAGGCCCCAAGATGCTCCATTAGGTTGGTTCCCTTTTGTTGTGTGCTTAGGGTAAGCCCTACGGACTTAAGGATACAGGCCCCAAAGCCTATCCTTAGGTTGGCTTCCTTTTCGCTGTATGCTTAAGGTAAGCCATATGGATGTAGTTCTGGGAACTGCGGCTGGTGTACAAGAGAATGGTTTAAACTACGAGTTTCAAAAGTTAAACTTCATTATGATTTTATGAGATTTACTTAACTATCATTTGATTAGTGTACCTATTATGATTTTTATCGTACTGATGGAATACACTAGACATCCTATTAGACCTCATGAAAACGTGACTGTATGAAAGGTTTCTTATGAACTGAGATTCATGGCTTCTACTCGATGAACTACTAATGGAAACCCAGATTATTCCGCAATTGGTATACGTTTGATTCAATAAGGAAATTATGACTTCCCATTTATATGCATGTCCTGTAGCATCATCTGGTAGTTCTGTATTACTGAGTTTTTTGAAGCTCACTCTATTACTCACCATTGCAGGTTAAAAGATTGTACCAGTACAACTATCAACATTAGTAAGGGAGTTCTTCCGGCGTTGTTTCCAGAGTATGGTACATGTAATTAGGGGGCATGTAATTGTATTTTGCTTTATATATAAGTCTTAAAATATGTTTTATTTCGAATACTGATAAATTTTATTTTGTACTCATAAATGATTTTATGAGTTTACATGTTTTAGGAAAAGTTTTAAAATTTCCGCTATTTTTACGGTGAGTCGCTCCGGTGGCCCTAATGTGACTTCCCAGATCGGATCGGGTTACCCGCATCAGTCTGGGGGTTACAAAACGTATGTGCCAAGTGTCACAATTGTCAAATAATTATTCATTTTTCTCAGATGAAATAAATGAAAACTTAGTATAGAGAATAAAGGGTCGATCCTAAGGGACTTAGAATTTTCCAATGTCGTCTTGTATTGATCTTGATCCAAGGAAACTGAAAGTAAAAAAAAGGGTTTGCTAATATAAAAATAAAATAAAATAAACTACGTAAAATAAATGAAAAAGAACGAAAGTAAATAGCTGAAAACAATATTGGTAAAAATAGCCTCAAGTTTGGCTTTGCCTCAATTCATTTTTATCATTGAAAAATATTTTATTTCATGATTTATTACGGTTACAGTCTACAAGGCCCAACCATTGTAACTTACTTTTCTCTTTGGTAAACTGATATTCCCAGTCCAACCTTTGAAATTCAATTCTCGTTTGGACTAACTACAGATTATGTTTCCTCAATGAGAATCGAATCCAATCTTAATTTTCCATGGCAGATCGCCGCTAAGTATGTTCACAAGAAGTTGAATTTGCTACCGACCGATTCTTCCCCCCAACTATAAATCAGAACAACATCGAGATCAACGTCAACTTTTTGAAATGAAATTGTTAAGTTTTTTAAAGTAAAGGTCGATTGCCAATCCAAGTTTACAAAATATTAAGAATGATATATGAAGATATTAAGTGCTTTTCAATTCTCACTTAATGAATTAAATTATTTCTAAGTCATCGGCTAATTGTGAAAATTAGCTAACCATGATGGAAATCAAACTTAGCATATCTAGAAAAAAAATAAAAAAATAAAAGTAAAAAGAAAGTAAAAGAGCTTTGAAAACTCGAGAGAATTTTATAAAACTGAAAAAAGTACATCTCAAGCTATATCCAAAAGGGGTATATTTAGTATACTAAAACCCTAAAGGTGGAACAAAATAAATTCAAAATAAAAATATCTCAAAAATAATCTAAAGATAAATCCTAAAATGTTTTCAAATTCAATTTTAAATTCTTAAATCATTTCAACTCGTCCAATATCTAAGATTAATGTTGACTGTACCTTCTAGAAACTGCAACTGATATGATCTTCTAGAAACTATCACGTTAGATCGCTTCATGCCCCAGGTCATGCCTATGTTTACAGTCATGATTTTAGAAAAACTGCAGGATCATCTTTTCTGGAAATTATGCTCCTGCACGAAATTGAACGAAACACAACTAAATCAGCAGTAATAAATCGACAATACTAAAAAATTAACAAGTAAATATATTCAATTTAGAACACCTATCAGTATAGTTAACCCTAAAGTTTCTATCAATAATTTGGGTTAGGTTGCAAGAAAAAAACATTACGAGTAGTTGCATGAAGCCCTTGATTCAGAGCAAGCAAACTCAAGTTATTCTTCGTACATTTGACAAGTTTTTTTATATTCCTTTTTCAATTACTTTACAATTAATGATCCAACTTAGTAATTATTAGATTGTTGTCTCATGGGATACCAGGTTTCTTCAACAAAGGGTAACATGTCCTAATTTTTGCTTTAACAATTATGGATAATAGAGACACAATAAAAACTCCAAAAGACTTGGGTGAATTAGGATATTAAATATGAATACTTCATATTGTGATGGGGACGATGATGATATGGAAAAAATTGTGTTTTTTCATTTGGGGAAAATGTTTAGTTTTTTAAGGTTTTCTTTTGTAGGGAAAGAGAGATAAGTGAAAAAAAAAATAAGGAAGATGAGTGGATCAATAAACATGATGTGCACCAAATTGATAGAATTATTATTAGATCTATTTGAATTAATTCTGCTTAGGACTAAATTGAATGTATATGCAATTAATAAGGATAAAATGCATTATTATACAAATTTGTTTTACTACCATGTGAGCAATTTTGTTAACAAGTAACGTTTGGTGGCTTGAGTAAAATAAAATTAAAAATTCAATGATATACTTGATAAATAGATTCTTTACAATGGCCAACCTAAAATCAACCCTATAGTTTTATTGGGTTAAAAACAATTTACACATTATTTATCAACACATCTCTGAAGTAATTACAATGATTGAATTATCCTTGTTTTTTAAAATGATCAAATTGCCATTGGACCTTAATGATCTAAATACCCTCGAGTTCTAAAATGACTAAAATAACCCCGAGTATTGAAATGACCCAAATACCCTCATGATATGGATTTAAGGAAATGTTTGTAGACAAGTTCTAAAAGTACCAGTGAAGCTTTAAATTTTGTAATGACCTAAAGGTTATGGGATTACCCAAACACGTCAGTCACTCTGGATATTATTGCAATATAGCATAAAATAAATACCATCGAAATACTAGTTCACTTCTTCAAGATCCATTCAACGATGAGTCAGAATGTGATTAGTTCAATTAGTGTAGTTTATGTTAAAAAGTAAATATTCGTAAAGTATCTCGATCTGAATGATTGACAAGTATCGTAGTCTTGGGATTTGTTTAGTTTGAGTTGACATGATTTTTTGATAAATCGACATGAAGCTTGAATTATGTAAATCATTGTTTCACCCTTATTGGATTAAGTTACTAAGAATTATCTAGGAAATTAAAATGTCTAAAATACACCTAATGGCCTAAATAATGGAATCACTCTAGTTATATCTGAAATATTAGATTATTATGATGTAGAGGTTCCTAAAAACTTTTCTGATGCACTTGAATCCTATTTGATCCAAGCATCAATCTCTAAAAGTTTGATTAGCTCCGTTAGTAATCAAACTCTTTTAATAGGGGCATCGTTCCTGAAATTCGATCTATTTTACGTAAGTTCATGTTTTCTATTCCTGATAACTACCAAATGTACAAAAATATTTCCTCTGTTTATAAAATGTATGACTATGATATTTGAAATAAAAACCCGATCTTTGATCTATGTTTTCTTATGTATATGATATTTGTCTTTTGATCTATGGTATTGTTGGTTATTGTTTACTATATGTATGATCTGATTTATTTTGGGTACTACTAGTATTTGTATGGAGTTCTGCAGGTTCAGCCCCGATTAGGCTAGTAATTCCTTACGACCTAAGGTGACCCTTGGGTGGGCTTCTGGGCTCAATGGGCCTAGTGGTAAGACTTTATAGACCCTATGTAACTCCCATAAAGTGACTCATTTGCTTTGTGCTTAGGGTAAGTCCTTATGGACCTAGGGGCACTCCTTTCAGGTGGCTTCTACGATTCGGCTAGAGTAAGTCCTTATGGACCTAAGGTGTTCCCTTAGGTTGGCTCCTATGCCCAATGGGCCTAGGGTAAGTCCTTATGGATGCAGTTCTGGGGAACTGCATATGGATTGTTTGGTTATAAGGTATTACAGTGATTTTAAAATCTGTTTCACTGAAATAAACTACTATAGATTTTAAAATATGATTTCATTTACTCTAATTTTGTGGGAACATACTAGACGTCCTATTTTGATCTCCTAAATCTGTCTCTTTGAACATTTCCTCTAAACTGTAAGTTTCCTGACAGTTACCTAAAGATTTAATAGTGAAATCTAGACTCATCACTAGGACTTGTATATGCCTGGATAACTAAGGAAATTTCATGCTTTGTCATATATCTGCTTGTCATCTAGCATTATCTCGTAGTTTTGTATTACTGAGCTTCCCATAGCTCACCCTGTTATATACCATCTCAGGTTAAAGATCGATCATGTGTAGTTATCAACATCAGTATGGGAGATCCTTCGGAATTGCTTGAGAGTACGGTACAGGTGTAATTGGGGGCATGTAGGTCACATTTGTTTTTATTTTTAGTCTGTATTTTATTTTGACATGGAAAACTATTAGATTCTATTTTAATATGTGAATGATCTTTCTGAAGTTATGTTTTTATTTCGAAATTGTTTTACGGTTTGAAATGGTTTAACAAAAATTTTAGTTTTCCTGAATTTTCATTGTGGGTCGCTTCGGTGGCCCTAATTTGACACCCTGGATTGAATCGGGTCACCCATAACGGTCTAAGGGTGTTACAATTAACCAAAAATATTGTATGTTGAATACATTATATATATATTAAGCTCAAATTCATTAAGAATTAAGACCTAACTACTTTTTTGTTTACACTAAACCTATGCAACTTGGAAAAGTATAAAAAATGACAACATAATTTAAAACTAAAAATAGCAGATATGTTTTAGCACTTAGATTAATTATTTAAAAAATCCTCGTTACAATTTTTTTTTTGAAGTAGAACTATAATATATTCATTGCCTTAACAACGTCCTATAACATGCATACAAGAAAAATACATTTATGTCTAGCATAAGAAAAATATAATGATGATCAACCAGTGCTAGCCTGATGAGCAAGAGTGTGAACAATTGAGACATTGACATACATAGATAGATCACTCTAATGTCCCAAAGCATCATAGAGAAGGAAAACCTTAAGAATATCCGAAATGAATGAATGAAAAACGAATCTTCCTTTAAACACATTCTCATCAAACACATATATATGAGAACCAACAAAATGTCATATCCAAACAAACTAAGGAACCAGACATAGGAAAAACAAGAAACCATGAAATCCTAAAGAAACATAGACCAAGAAGAAGACCAATGGAAGAAACCTACATTGGAAGTCCAAAAACATCGGTAGAAAACATTATATTAAATACGTTAAAATATAATTTGAAATTAATAATATCGATCAACAATAAATTGAAGAAATTAAAAATGACAGGGAAGTGGCCGAAGGAGACCACCACCACTGCCCTTGATGAAAAGCTTGTGGTAACCGCCAAGTAGTTTGTAACTGCAATATAGGTTTTATGATAGGAAAAACGTAAAAATTGGGTGATATAGTTACCATTGGATGTAAATAAAAATAAAAATTACGAAATTGTGAAATATCAGATCTCGGTAAGTATTGATATTCAATTACAAGTATCGATACTTGTTGCGAAATAAATATCAAATCACATTTAAAATTTTCGATTGCAACAAGAAATGTTACCAAAATATGTAACATATTAGATTGGACTACTTAAAATTTTAGGTTGTAACCTAAAACATTACGTTAATCATTATAAAGTATGTAAAAGAGATAACTTCTCCAAATACAACCTAAAATATTAATCTCAATTTCAAGTACTATGTAACATGTTAGGTTGCAATCGGAATCATTATCAATTAATTACTTTAGGGAGTATTAAAAGAAAGCATTTTTCAGTTGCGTTTGACTAGCTTTTTATATTCTTTTTTAATTAATTACTTCACAGTTACTGATCCAGTTTAGTGATTATCGGATTGTTGTCTCTGTGAGATACTTGATTTGTTCAACGAAGGGTAATATGTCTTAATTTCTGGCTTGACAATTATGGATAATTTAGGGGAAATAACTCTAAAATCTTGAGAGAACTTGGGGCTTAGGAAGGGTCGGCCTAAGAATACTTCATAATAAGAATCCGACCTATCATGTTCCATGTCAATGACATAGAAATCTGTAGGAAAAAATAATACATCGACCTTCACTAAGACATTTTCCAGCATTCCCACTAGATAGATCACGAATCGATCAACCAACTGTATGGTTACTCCCGTTTCCTTAAAAGGCTTGTTAGTAATCATTTTATAAATAGAAAACGTCATAACGTTGATTGAAGCCCATAAGTCACACATTGCACGTTTAATTTTAAAATTACCTATTTTACAAGGTATGGTGAACATACCTTGATCCTTCATCTTTGGTGGGAGCTTTCATTAAAAAATTATGGAAACATGTTCTCCCAAACTTACCTTTTCGTACCCCATTAATTTCCTTTTTGTAGTGCAATGCTCCTTTAAAAATCAAGCATACCTCGATGCTTGTCGAATTACTTCAAGAAGAGGTATGCTAATTTGAACTTTTCGAAACACCTCTAAGATCTCTCTTTCTTCAGCTCTTTTATCACGTTTTAACAATCTTGATGGGAAGGGTGGTGTGATTTCATGAGAAGAAGATGGAGGATGTGAATCAAATGTTCCTTGTATTTGTTGAGGTGGAGTTTCTTCTTGTTTTTCCTGATGTGTGGCTTTTTCTTCTGGAACTTTAGGTGAGATGACTATTCCACTTTGGAGTGTGATGGCACTAACATTCTCTCTTAGATTTAACTCCGTTTGAGAAGGTAGTCTTCCTTGTGATTCCAATTTCCCCACAGTTTGAGCTAGTCGACTCACTTGGTTATCCAACTCTTGAAAATGTGTCTCGGTTCGTCTCTGGAATTTTTCATGGGATGCAACCAACGTTTCTTGGGATAAGACCAATTTTTCATGGGATGTAACCATCTTTTCTTGTGAAATTGCTAATTTTTCAATGATTTCCTCCAATGATGGCTTTTGCATTTACTGTTGAGGATGAGCTCTTGGTTGATAAGTTGACATTTGATTCATCGCATAGCTGAAATTAGGATGGTCTCGCCATCCCAGATTATAAGTATTGCTATATGGGTTGTATGGTCTTTGTGGAGGACCTGGAAAGTTTCATATGTCATTGATTTCTTCATTGTCTCCTTCTTGTATCATCGGGCAGTAGTCTGTTGGATGGTCTAGCTTCGTGCATATCCTGCATGCTCTTGTTTCCCTAGACTTTCTTGCAACAAGTGAATTATCTACTTCAATTAATTTATCTAACTTATTTTCAAGGGAAAAGGTGCTTATCTCTTGAACCCGTCAGTTGGGTTCACTTGAAAACTATTGAGAGTTGGCTGCCATGGTTGAAATCAATTCTCTCGCTGTTGTTCGGGTCATGTTGACTAATGCTCCTCTCTTGGAAGCATCTACCATTTTCATTTCCATTGGCAAAAGACCTTCATAAAAGTATTGAAGTAACGTTTGCTCACTTAATTCGTGTTACAGACAACGTGCACAAAGCTTTTTAAATCGTTCCCAATAGTTATAAAGACTTTCTTCGGTCTTTTATCGAATAAAAATAATGCTCCTTCGTAACTCGCTTGCTTTAGCCGTTGGGAAGTACCTGTCAAGAAAAATTCGACTCATGTCAGCCCATGAATTAACTAAATTTGGAGGTAAATAAAATAACCAATCTTTAGCCAAGTCGGCTAAAGAGAAAAGGAAAGTCCTCAATTTAATTTGATCTTCGGTAACTCCTTGTGGTTTCATTCTAGTGCAAACTACAAGGAACTCCAACAATTGTTTGTGTGAATCTTCTGTGGGAAAGCCATAGAAAATAGGAAGAAGGTGAATAAGTCATGTCTTTAATTGAAATGAAGTCCCACCATTGAGAAAAGTGATACATAATGGCGTTTGAGTGACAGTAACTACGGCTAACTCTCAGATCGTTTGTTCTTTTTCTTCTACCATCGGGATTTGATCTTCATTATATGCGTCTATTTCAGAGTTTGTTTCTGGATTTGATTCTGTTTCTGAACTGTGCTCTTCTCGTCTCTTTTTTTTTCTTGAAGAGTTTGTGCGTGTATTCTTCGTGTTCGTGCTTTGATCTCCGGGTCAAGATCTACTAATTCGTCTGGGTTTCTTCTGGTCATAAACCAAAAACAAAGAAAAATAAATCAGTACTTCTCGTGAGTCCCAGGTAACGGTGCCAATTTGATAACTGTCGTTTTGCTATCAAAATAATTCTGACTTTTTAATAAGTAAAAAGTGAGAGTAGAATAGAGAAGCATAGTTGATCCACAAGGACTTTGGTGTTTCTGATTTAGTGGACTTTTTGATTTATAAGAAGATAGAATTTCATATAAAGATAAAAAGGTAAGAAAAAATTATAAAATAAATAATTAAATATAAATCATTTTAAATGGAAGATAAGGATAAAATAATAAAATAATAAATAATAATTATAAGATAATTATAAAGATAAAAAGGGGGGGTTTTAAATTATTTAAAGAAACAAAATGAGATAAAGATTAAATAAACAAACAAACAAACAAAATAAATTGAGATAAAGAAAATTTATGGTAAAAACAACCTCAAGCTTCTTCTTTGCCTCAAATTCCTTTGATAATCGAAATAGATTTTTACTTCAAGATTCACGTTGGCTACTTGTCTACAAGGACAATTCCTTGTGACTATGCTTTGTATACCGAATATCCAAGTGCATTCTTAAATTTTAGTTTGTGAGTTGCTATAAGAAACAACAATGTTGTAGATCTTTAAAACGTTGAAGTTCAAAAAGCTACCGACTCGGATTATGTTGTTTCAACAATAACTGATTTCGATCTTAGTTTCCTCTTAGCAAACAATTTTGCTAAGTGTGTTCACAAGAAGTTGAATTTGCTTCAATAAGCCTATCCTTCATCCCACGGTAACCATAAAAACATCCAGACCAACGCCGGCTTGTGGTTTTGAAAATTGTTTTGATTTGAAAATAAGCCCAGAAAACATAGAGAAAAATCCGAAGTGATTTAGTGTCTGACAATTCTCACGTTTGGAATTGAGCCTTCGCTTTAGCCTTCGGCTTAAAAGAAAATTAGCTAAGCATGACCAAAGTCATACATAGCATATTTGAAAACCAAACTTTAAAATAAAATAAAAAATTGAAAATTTGAAAGAAAATAAAAGAGAGAATTTTATAAAGCTAGAGAGAATAAGAAGAGTAAATTCTCAATTGTTGAGAGATATGTTTCTAGGCTTACCCTGAGAGAGTATTTATAGCCTTCAAAATCCTAAAAACAAAGTAAAGATAATCCTAAAATAAAGAAAATAAATCCTAATTAAAATACTTAAAGCTATTTAAACTATGATACCTAATAAAAAGATAAGATAAGATAAGATAAGATAAGATAAGATAAGATAAGATAAGATAAGATAAGATAAGATAAGATAAGATAAGATAAGATAAGATAAGATAAGATAAGATAAGATAAGATAAGATAAGATAAGATAAGATAAGATAAGATAAGATAAGATAAGATATAATATTTAAAATAATATCCTAAAACATGAGTTTAATTCAAATCCGAATTGCAAAAACATGCAGCTGATCCATTCGATCTTCTAGAAGCTTTGACTGGACATTCTAAAAGGTGTTGACGTCATTTCCTCGTCATATGTTTCAAACCCACTAATCTAGCTTTGATTCCAAAAATAAAAAAATGCAGAATTCTGTTCTTTTAGTGCAATTTCCATAATCTAGCGTCCTGCACAGAAAATGAATCAAAATGAACAAATAAGCCACAAAAACCAATGATTACGGAGCAATTCAAGCAAAATGATAACTAAATAAAGCACTTATCAGTTACATACCATTTCAGTTTAAAGATCGATCTTGTGCAGTTATCGACATCAGTATGGGAGTTCCTTCGGCGTTGCTTGAGAGTACGGTACAAGTGTAATTCGGGGCATGTAGGTCACATTTGTTTTTATTTTGAGTCTATATTTTATTTTGACATGGGACACTATTGGATTCTATTTTAATGTGTGAATGATCTTTCTGAAGTTGTGTTTTTATTTCTAAATTGTTTTACGGTTTGAAATGGTTTAACAAAAATTTTAGTTTTCCAAAATTTTCATTGTGAGTCGCTCCGGTAGCCCTAATTTGACACCCTGGATTGGATCGGGTCACCTGTATCGGTCTAAGGGTGTTACAATTAACCAAAAATATTGTATGTTGAATACATTATATATATTAAGATAATATTCATTAAGAATTAATGTCTAACTACTTTTTGTTTACACTAAACCTATGTAACTTGGAAAAGTATAAAAAATGACAACATAATTTAAAACTAAAAAATAGCGGATATGTTTCAGCAATTAGATCAATTATTTAAAAAAAATAAGCGTTACAATTTTCTTTGAAGTATAACAATAATATATTCATTGGCTCAACAACATCTTATGACATGCATACAGGACATATACATTTATGTCTAGCATAGGCAAAATATAACGATGATCGACCAGTTCTAGCATGATGAGCAAGAGCGTAAACAATTGAGACATTGACATACATAGATAGATCACTCTGACGTCCCAAAGCATCATAGAGGAGGAAAACCTGAAGAATATCCGAAGTGAATGAATGAAAAACGAATCTTCCTTTAACAACAGTCTCATCGGACACATATATCTGAGAACCAACAAAATGTCATATCCAAACAAACAAAAGAACCATGCATATGAAAAGGAAGCAACCATGAAATCCTAAAGAAACATAGACCAAGAAGAAGACTAATGGAAGAAACCTGCACTGGAAGTCCAAAAACATTGATAGTCATAATAGCCTTTATTAGAAAAAGGGCTAAGAGAAAATATTATTTTAAATACGATAAAATATAATTTAAAATTAATAATATTGATCAACAATAAATTGAAGAAAATAAAAATGATAGGAAAGTGGCCGGAGGAAACCACCACCACTGCCCTTGATGAAAAGCTTGTGGTAACCACCAAGTAGTTTGTAAGTGCAATATAGGTTTTATGATAAGAAAAGTGTAAAAATTGGGTGATATAGTTACCGTTGGATGTAAATAAAAAATAAAAAAATTATGAAACCGTGAAATATCATATCTCGGTAAGTATTGATATTCAATTGCAAGTATCGATACTTGATGTGAAATAAATATCAAATCACATTTAAAATTTTCGATTGCAACAAGAAATGTTACCAAAATATATAACATTTTAGATTGGACTATGTAACATTTTAGGTTGTAACCTAAAACATTATGTTAATCATTATAAAGTATGTAAAAGAGATAACTTCTCCGACTGCAACCTAAAATATTAATCTCAATTTCAAGAACTATGTAACATGTTAGGTTGCAATTGGAATCATTATCAATTAATTACTTTAGGGAGTATTAAAAGAGAGCATTTTTCAGTTGCCTTTGACTAGCTTTTTATATTCTTTTTTAATTAATTACTTCACAGTTACTGATCCAGTTTAGTGATTATCGGATTGTTGTCTCCGTGAGATACTTGATTTGTTCAACGAAGGGTAATATGTCTTAATTTCTGGCTTGACAATTATGGATAATTTAGGGGAAATAACTCTAAAAAATCTTGAGAGAACTTGGGGGTTAAACATGAATATCTATTATGGTGATGGGGATGATAATGATATGATTAAATTTGTGTGCTTTTCCTTTTAGGGAACAGGTTTTGCTTTTTAAGTTTTTGTCTGTACGGAAGAGAGATAAGGGAAAAAAAGGAAGATGATGGGCCAAGAAATATGATGTACACCAAACTGATAGAATTATTATTAGATCTGTTGAATTAATTGTATTTATGACTGAATTGAAATGTAATATTATACAAAATTGTTTAATTATCACGTGAGTAATTTTGTTACCAATTAACATTCGGTGGCTCGAGTGAAATCAAATTAAAAGCTAAAGATTTACTTGAGGTCTGGTTCTCTCTGTTTATAAGCTGGAAACTTCGGGACTTATGGATTCTTGGTTTCTTTGGTTTGATTTGGAGAATATGGCTGTGTAGAACTAAATCAAGATTTAATGGGTGTTCTTTTTCGGCAGATCAGATCTTTAATGTTGCCATGATTCAGATTGGGGTTTGGGCTAACTACTTATGGCCGGTACTGATTCCATATGCTCAGGATTTTATCCGTAGTCCGGAGTCTTTAATTTTTTCTGGTGGTTAACTACGAGGTGTAGATGAAGGGGGTGGAGTCATGATTTTTTTCGTTAGCTATTCTGGAGGTTTACAGCAAACGTTGGGGTTCCTTGTTGTTATTCTGATGTTAATTAATATTCTTCACAGGTCCTGTGTCGAAGTATCTGAGTTTTTGGGAGCTGAAGCTTGGAGTGAGGATTCTTGGTTTAAAGCCAGCTGCCGAGAAGTGGTTGTTCATGACCGTTTCTGCCTCCAGCTGCCCATTTGCAGATTGTTGTTGCAATGCACGCAAGGTTGTCCTGAAGGAGAGACCATTTCAGGTTGGGAATGTAACTAGTTACACACTGTTGTTTCCAGTCTTGGTCATTTCTTCCTCGTATCCTGGGCTGGTTTTATTATTTGTTTCAGTTCGGTTTCATCCAGTTTCAGTGGTGCTTGCACAGTTTATCTTATGCTGTTTTTGTTGTTAGTACACTTTGCTGTTTCGATTGTATTGGTGTTAGTAGGAGAGGGTTGCGGTTTTGGGTTTTGTCTTGGCGTAAGCCTGGATCGGATGAATCTTTCCACCTCAAGTGATGTTATTTTTCATTCATTTAGGTGTAGGGAGGTTTTTTAATGAATTTCTTGATGTGGTGTATTTTATTTTCTCTTATACGAAGTACCCTATTTCAAAAAAAAAAAAGTTCAATGATCTACTTATAAATTAATTTTTTTTCATAGTTTTTTTTTCTGAATAGGAATGAGCCTAAGAGAAATTTAGGCGAGTTTACAATAGCGGATATAAGGTGGCCCTTCAACATCACGCATTAACAGATCGTGGATATCATTTGGACAAACGCCAAAAATCTGAATAGCACCGTTGGAGTCAGCATCAGTCTTCGCCACGGAATCAGCCACCATATTCGCCTCTCTGCGGATAAGTTTAAAATCAATCTGCCAATCTCTATTAATCAAATCAAAAATGTCCCTAACCAGAGTGATCGGGCTGTTTGAAGAGGCGGATGTGATCATCTTGAACGCGTCGGAGCTATCTGAAGAACTGAAAAATGGAAACCTTTGTCCTATTCTAATCTTAAACCTCCAAGAACCCCCCAAAGCTCGGCACTAATCACCTTGGTAGTGCCCAAGCTTCGATTGAAACCCACCAGGAAATTGCCAGAATGGTCACAGAACACACCACCTGTTTTAGAGATAAAAAACTACGTCGTTTTGGTATAAGTTTCCACATCATAATGTAACGGCGGAGTGACCAAAAAAGTTTGATGTATAAAGTTCAATGAGCATATTGAAAATTTTAAAAGTATGGTGAGTAAAATAAGAATCGCATGAAAGTTCAGTTATCAAATTTGTAATTTACCTATATTATTAACAATGAAACTATAATGGATTGACATTGTTGAAAAAACCTAGTTTTCTTTCATTGGTGTGTCACTCGTCTCTTTTTTTCGTCTTTGTTGATTGATGACAGCACCAACTTTAATGTTGATTACCGACCACCGGTATTATTTATTGTCTTTTTCTTTTCTATATATTATCTTTATTTTCTTTTATCTTTTGATTTTCAATAAGTCTTCTGTGTTGTACGTTTTCATTATCTTTATAGCATATTTTCTTATTCTTTTTGGCATGTTTTTCAGTTGTTTGGCCGTTTTTTCGTTTATTTATTTTTATTGGTTGATTGGCATTGCCACAACGGATTAAGATGACACATATTTGATAGGGTAAACTACACGGGAGACCACCAAACTATGGTCATTAATCAATCTTACCACCAAACTATTTTTTATCTCAATTCGACCACCAAACTTTTTAATTGATTTAATCAGACCACTCTCCGTTAAAAAATACCGGAGAGTCTGACATGTTTGTTAATAAATTTGCATATCTAATTAAAACGTGACACGTGTCAATATATAATTAGTCCTTAATATTTACATATTCTATTAATTTAGTCACTATTTTAATTCAATTAAATGTTTTATTTATGAATTTTAAATTATTTAATTAAATAATTTTCTATCCAATCAGGTGGTGACACGTGTCACCACCCAATTGAAATGAAAATATATATGGACAAACTTATACCCAAGGTGATTCGAACCAGAGACAAGGAGATAAGCTTTCAGGCAGCAAACCATTAGGCCAAAGGTCACCGATGATTCATAAGTACAAGTTTTATTTGACTTGTAAAAGTTTGTTAAGTTTTAAAAATTAAACAAATTATTTGTTTAAACGAATTATATTTAATTAAATAAATTATTCACAACTAATAATTTTTATATAAATTAGAAAAGTTTAAAAAAAATTCGGTAATTCGAAAATCGATCGAATTAAACGAAATTTGTTCGGTTCGGTTAATAATTTTCAAATAAATTTCGGTTCGATTCATGGTTAAAGAAAAAAATCGGTTAATTCGGTTCGGTGAATAATTTTCAAATTAATTCGGTTCGGTTAATAATTTACAAAAAAGTTTGGTTCGATTAATCAAACTGAATTAACCAATTTTTTGCTTCGATTAATTCAATTAATAATTAAAAAAATTGGTTAATTCGGTTCGGTTAATAATTTTCAAATTAATTCGGATCGGTTAATAATTTTCAAATAAATTTTGGTTCGATTAACCGAGCCCAATTAATCAAAGTTTTACTTCGATTAATTCGATTAATAATTAAAAAAAATCGATTAATTTGGTTCGGTTAATAATTTTCAAATTAATTCAGTTCGGTTAATAATTTTCTAATAAATTTTGGTTCAATTAACCAAACTTAATTAACCAAATTTTTGCTTCGATTAATTCGGTTAATAATTTTCAAAATAATCGGTTAATTCTGTTCAGTTAATAATTTTCAAATTAATTCGGTTCAGTTAATAATTTTCAAATAAATTTTGGTTCGATTAATGATTAAAAAAATAAGTTAATCCGGTTCGGTTAATAATTTTCAAATTAATTCAGTTCGGTTAATAATTTTAAAATAAATTTTGGTTCGATTAACCAAACCGAATTAACCGAATT